TAGCTATAATCACGGCACTTGGGACGTAGAGGCAGAAAGTTCTAGAGTTCTAGATCAGCATCATGGACATATAAGTCCAAAGCCAGCCTGAGTTACATGAGATTTCATCAACACAAGCAAGCAAATAAACAAATAAAACTGAAGATATGTCCCGCTAGATAGTTGGCAAGTAATTCGGAACTGCAATAGTTCTGGTCTTTAATTTAGACTAAACCAGGAAAAGCTGGGGCAAAGAGTACCATCTAGTGGCCACTCAACAGTGTAACATTTTAGTGCAAGATTCTCTGGGATAGTCCACTGGGCAGTTCTGCCTATATTGGCAGTTTGTCAGTAACTTTTTTGTATGTCCTGCATAATGTCTGGCAGTCTCTTTCATGAAGCAGGAACCCCAAATGACTGTCTCACCTTCTTTAGGCAACTTCAGCAGTCATTTTTCTGTGGGTTCTGTATGTCCAGTTCATACAGCATAGCATCAAGCAGTCCAGGCAAGAGCAGTTTCTTGCTCAAATGGCTAACAAACTCCATAAGGAGCCTCTTTGGTGCCCATCATCCTCTTGAAGTAGATTGGTGCTGCCAGGAGCAGATGTGTCTCATTGTCATGAAAAGTCCTAAGTTCTTAAACATTTTAAATGCCACATTCTGTTAGTCTTAGAAAGATTTGAAGAATAACTATCCATCTGAAATATACTTCTGTACATCTAGAGAATCTAACTAACATGACTACAAGGTTGACTATTATAGATGATTATTAACCTCTATTTCTTAATTATACATTACATTTTTAAATGAGCTGCATAAACACAATACATTAATCAAGAGCAGAAATATACATATAACAAAATTTACCTAATATTTGTATTAATAAACTAAGAATCATACCAATGCAAAGTATTAATATGTATATCATACACCCCTTTAAATGTAAGCAAACATTTATAAACAATATTTGGGAATTTGGGTGTACTTCTCTCTAAAATGCTTTCTGTTTTTTGTTGAGCAAAGTAATTTGGGGGCCTGTTCAGGGTCCATCAAACCACATTAGTCTGAAAGGATTCCACAGGTTCTCATTGTCTGTGGAAATAAAAGAAGAACCTCTTTTCCAAAGCAACATATCCTTAGACCCAAGTTCTGAAGTCAAAATACCCTTAAAATATATATGCTGGTTTAGCTTAGCAGCCCATACAATGAAATGTCTCTCTGTACTTAACTCATTCACAGTCAAAAAATTTAAAGAAAACACAATAATATACATAATCCAGACTCTCTATGTATATTCCATCTTTATGTGGCTTATTTTTCTTACTCTATTGCTTTTTCTACAAGTTTAATATTTATTTTCTTATCTTTACTCCTTTAATATATGACTGTCTGTACTCTTTTATACTATATTTACTGTCTCTTTACTCCTTTTCTTCTCTCCCCCAAGCCTACACACATTTTTTAAACATATTGTGTCTCATTTATGGGTCCTTCATGTCTGAATCTGTCCTATTGTGTATCTGAAATTCTTTTCTGTCCAGGGGTGCTTCTTAAAACACTAAGCAGCAACTAAGGTTGCTTTGTCTTTTGGCTCCTCCCAGTCCAACATGGTGGAGGACTGTTTAGTGTGAGCCATACTCATAGCCTCATTTTCAGGCTCTAAGTTGCCATTAAGCAAGTTGTAGCACTCTGCTCACAAATTCCATTTAAATGCTCTGTAGCAGGACCTCCTGAAAGAGTCAGAGTTCGTGCTGGCAGCATGGTCCAGGAAGCCGCAGTTTCAAAACCAAACAGTATTTTTGTTGTTGTTGTTGTTTTGGTTTGGGTTTTTTTTCCACCACTGAATCAGGAAGACTTCTCTTAAAGGAGTTGCAGCATGCTGCCAGCAAGCAGAGCCCATGCCTGACTCTGTTACACTGACTTAGATTCCTTTAGAGATAGTTCTAGGCATGGTACAGCCATACCACATTTGAAGTTCTAGTTCTAATCTTATGAGAAACCTCCATACTGATGTCCATAGTGGATGGGCTAATTTGTATTCCCATTAGCGGTATATAAGAGTTCTTTCTTCACTTTCATTCTTGTCTGAATTTATTGTTGTTGTTGTTTCCTTAATGACAGTCATTCAAACTAGAGTGTGATGAATTCTCAGTGTAGTTTTGACTAGCATTTCCCTGATGCTAAAGATGTAGGATATGTTTATATTTTATTAGCCATTTGTACTTCATCTTTCAAGAACTGTTTGCTCATTTGTACATTTATTGATTAGATTGTCATACTATTTAATTTTAAAAATCTTTATGTATATATAGATATTAGATAGCTGTATGCCAGCTAGTAAAGACTTTCTTCCTCGTTATATGTTGTCTCTCCACTCATTTAATCATTGTTTTTTACTACACACTTTCATCTTGATGAGGTTAATCTATATGCTTTTATATATGTTTGTTTTATGAAATTGGATGCAACAATATTTAGTGCATATGTGTTTAGAATTGGTATAGCCACTTAAAGAACTATTTCCTTGATATAAAACGACCTTCTTTATCTCTAATGATTAGTTTTGATTTAAAGTTTATTTGTCAGATATCAATATCTGATTTCCACTGAGAAAGAAAAAAATTAAAGACATTGCTCTTAGAGGCTGAAAAAAATCCTGCTTTAAAATTTGAACATAATTATACACATACAAAAAATTATAATAAAGATATAAAAATTTATATATTTTAATTATATACTCAAATATGAAGATGCTACATAGCCCTGTCCTGTCTCCTACTGTATTCTGAAAATAGATTTGAAGACAATGGTATAAAGCTTCATTATACCCAAATACCTTAATGTATATTTTCTTAAGATGGTGAATATTCTCTTGTCAAAGTTAGAATATTGTCATTGATCCAGTATTTTCATTTAATGAACAAACCTTTTTACAATTTCACCAGCTATTTTACTCAAAGGTGTTATAGTAAAAGAGAGACTATGACCAAGGATCCATTTTAGAAGCTCATATTGCATGTTGTTTTTAGTCTTTCACCTTGTTAAACAAACAAACAACAACAGCAGCAAACCCCCAAATCCAGCCTTGTGTGGTGGCACATATCTTTTATCCCAGCCCTCAGGAGGCGGAGGCAGGCAGAACTGTCAGAGTTCAAGGTAGTTTGATCTACACAGCAAGTACTATGGCAGCCAGAGCTACACAGAGAGACCCTGTCTCAAAAACAGAACAAAATACCCCTCTAAGTAACAAGATATATAATAATGCCAAATTAGAGCCCACAAAGGGGGGGGGGATAGTCAAACATTCATAAGTGCAAACTGATAAACAAAATCTCTTCCTGAAATGAACACTAGAGTCTTAGTCACCATCTTATTGCTATGAAGAGACACCATGACCAAGGCAACTCTTACAGAAGAAAGCATTTAATGGGGACCTAGATTAAGTTTCAGAGATTTACTCCATTACCGTCATGGTGGAGAGCATGGCGTATAGTACCAGAATGATAGCTGAGAGCTAAATCCTGATCTATAGACAGAGAGAAAGAGAGAGGCAGAGACAGACAGAGAGGGAAAGAGAGAGAGGAGGCAGACAGAAAGACAGACAGAGAGAGACTGAACCTGGCATGGACTTTTGAAACCTCAAAGCCCAAGCTCAGGGACACACTTCCTCTAACAAGATTGCATCTCCTAATTCTAATCCTTCTCAAACAGTTCTACTCCCTGGGACTAAACATTCAACATTCATAAGCATATGAACCTCTTGAGGCTATTCTTATTCAAACCACCACAATCAGCTATGAAATGTAGAGGAAATAATTTATGGAAAAGAAACTCACTATTTGATAACCATCTTGGCAATAATTAGACAAAATTTACCTACAAATGCTTTAATCTTATAGGTGAAAGATGAACGAGTAATAAGATATTTACATAGGATCAAACTATGTCCCAAAAGGTATATTAATCCTAAAAAGGAAAATCATAATTTTACATTGAAGAAACATAGCAGATACCATATTTTTTGCTTGTTTGTTTGTTTGTTTGTTTGAGACAGGGATTCTCTGTAGCTCTGACTGGCCTGGAACTTACTTTGTAGACCAGCCTAGCTTTGAACTCAGAGATCAGCCTGCCTCTGCCTCCTGAGTGCTAATATCAAAGGCATTTGCCACCACACCTGGCAAACATTATCTTAAGGGATCAAAATTAACTTCAGTACTTAGACATCAACAGACAATCTGTATCTTCTTCTGACATGAGGCTGCATGAAGGACACAATGTCACTCGTGAGGCACGTCTCCCTCAAATCCGTTACCTGAACTTAATGCTGAGGAAACATCAGACAAGCCCAGACTGAGGGACAACCAAGGAAATAAGTGGTGTATGATTTTTTTTTAAACCTTGGCTTTAAGCAAGAAGATGTACAGCTTATCTATTTTTGGCACACAGGACTGATCTAGGCATTAGAGTGGTCACGTGATGTGCCATTATTCAGTGCAGAGGCCAGATCTCTTGGAACAGCAATGAATCCTGTTCCCAGGAAATGCTGGTGCCCACGCCATGCCTACCTGCTAACGCCCATGGCTGTAGAATCAATGACTCAGTAGGTTAGGAGGTTTCCTCTCCATTGCAAGATGTTTAGTCCGAGTCCTACTCTAGAATCTAGATGCAAAGATCGAGAACAAATTAAGGGAAGCATTTCCCATGCAGACATCTTTTGACTTCAGCAAGTAAGAACTAGGCAGTTAGTCCGAGTCTGGGGAGAACAGTGAGACTCCAGAAAGACAATGCCAACAGAGCTTTACCAAGTGGGGTGCAGCTATTCTATGTGGCCTTGCAGTCACACCCTTCCCTAAAGCACCCCTTGACTTTCCTAGTGACATGACCACCCTCCCTAGATAATTCTAAGGGGAAACTCTGGTAGGCTCCCAACTGAGGTGTATATCTGACCCCAGAGCAGTGGGAGTTTTTGACTTCTCTGCGGAGACAGACCTTGAAGGCATGCCTCTCTGGCTGTGTTCTAGTGACCTACGGAATGACAAGCTCTAGTGCCTATTACTACACCAAAGTGATGTCCGAGCTGTTTCTACACACCCCATCAACCTCTGGGGTTTCCTTCCAGACCATCAGCAGCATGGCAGATTTCTGGGACGTGAGTAGGACACTATCTTCACCCCTCCCTCTCCTTCTTAATTGTCTGAGACAAAGGTCAGAGTTCAGGTCAGTCTGGAACCAGGTCAAAGGATAAAGCTGATTTCGCGGCTTGGGGTGAAGTGTAAGTGGAGGCTGGAGAGAGATGGGGTGTTGACTAGGGGTTGACCAGCAGGAGCAAGGCTAGCGTTTGAGTCAGGAGGGAAGCTGAACCTCAAAATGTTATATTTTAAAATGTATTTTGGTCAAGTTCTGAAGGTCAGCTGTGAGGGTCCAAAAATAGAGGCTAGAGGCAAGTTGAAGGCCAGGGAATGAGAGCAAATGTCATGCACTGGTGTTAGGAGGAGGCCAGACCAGGCCTAACCCAGATGCTGGTCTAGTTTGCTCAGGGCCCCCTCCTGGACAGTTTGTACTGGACGAAGTGGTACAACAATCAGAGCCTGGGTGGTGGCTCCCACTCCTTCATTTACTATGAGAACTTGCTGCTGGGGGTCCCGAGGTTGCGGCAGCTGCGAGTGCGCAACGATTCCTGTGCGGTTCACGAGGACTTCCGGGAGGACATTTTGAACTGCTACGATGTCTACACTCCAGACAAGGAAGATCTACTCCCTTTTGGGCCTTTCAATGGGACAGCGTAAGTGAGCCCCTGCCCAAAGCACAGGGGCACCCCTTTGAGCTTGCCATCTGTCTGGGGTGTGGGAAACACTTTCATGAAACCTAAAAAAAAAAAAAGAGAAACCTTTATGGTGGGCAGCTTAGGAGACTTGGAGACCACTCCCTAATCCCAACAATGACTCTTTGAGGACACACGCTTGGTGTGTGTTGTTCAGGTGTGGAGGAAGCAGATTAGCAGAAAAGACACAGCCTCTGGATTTGTTCCTATGGATGGTTGACAGTTCCATCCTTCCTGGAAGGCAGAGTCCCTTGGGGGGGGGGTGTGATCCATGAATGAAGTTAATGCTGTCACCCAAGTCATGGTTGGAGAGTTTGACTCCTGGGACCTGATACAGGAAGCAGCAAGGGATGGAAGTTGGATGAGGAATGAAAAGAGGACAGGAAGAGGGTAGAGAGGATAGGAAAGGAGTAAACAGGATTAGCCAGGCAGTGGTGACACACGCCTTTAATCCCAGCACTCGGGAGGCAGAAGAAGGCCGATCTCTGTGAGTTAGAGGCCAGCCTGGTCTAAGAGTTCCAGGACAGGCTCCAAAGCTACAGAGAAACACTGTCTCGAAAAACCAAAAAGCCCAAAATACCAAACAAAACAAAAAGGTGTAAGCAGGATAAAAATGGGGTTGGTGGGGGGGTGGAGGTTGGAAGAGTGGCTTTAACAAGGAATCCTGGGGTTGACCAGCCAGCAATGGAGCCATAGGAACTAGAGTATCGTTCCTGGATTTATGGTCCAAGTGTTTCCTTCATGTGCACTGCACAACCTGGGCCACCAGTACATTCACCGAATGAAATAGGAGGACATTTGCACTCGGGTTTCAGGCGATCTCTGGAATTCCCTCTCATTTCCTCTACTGCAAAATATGGGCAGTATTTTCCCTGTCTTCCCAAACAACTGTTAGTAGCAAGCAAAATGATAAGCATGAAGCATCTATTGTATATGGTATTATGTGCACTGCATGAGATATCTCATACAAGGTGTATAAGACATGATTCTCACAAAATTATGTATGTGTCACATATAATATATGCACACATATACATGTATAGCACAGTAAGCATATATAAATATACAATGCATGTAGAACTGTAAAGCTGGGCATTCATAATTACCTTAGGGGGTTAGTGTTTTGCCTAGTTTGGACTTCTTTGATCAGGTGGTCTTTTTTCTTTGGCAGGTGGACTTACCATTCACAGGATGAGCTGGGGGGCTCCTCCCACTGGGGCAGGCTTACAAGCTACAGTGGAGGTGGCTACTATTTGGACCTTCCAGGATCCCGACAAGCCAGTGCAGAGGCCCTGCAAGGCCTTCGGGAGGGACTGTGGTTAGACAGGGGCACTCGGGTGGTCTTCATCGACTTCTCAGTCTACAATGCCAACATCAATCTTTTCTGTGTTCTGAGGTAAGCACCCTTTCCCCCACTGCATCTCTCTCTCTATCCATGGTTCCTAGTCCATCTGATATGCTTGAGATCTTTCCCCATCTGGCACCCTATGGCGGATGTGAGGTGCCAGGACAGTAGGAAGAACTGTACCGACCCAACCTCCACTAGCCATCTCTCCTTCCTCACAGACTGGTGGTAGAGTTCCCAGCCACAGGAGGGACCATCCCGTCCTGGCAAATCCGCACAGTTAAGCTGATCCGCTATGTGAATAACTGGGACTTCTTCATCGCGGGTTGTGAGGTCATCTTCTGTGTCTTCATCTTCTACTACGTGGTGGAGGAAATCCTGGAAATCCACCTGCACAGGCTTCACTACCTCAGCAGCATCTGGAACATTCTGGACCTGGTGATCATCTTGGTAAGGCACTTGGGACATAGTAGAGGGTGGAGAGACTTCTGCTTTGGTGGGGGATCCGTTCTTTCTTTTGGAGGCTCAAGCCCTCTTACTGACTTAGTAGAAACACTGTGCTAAGTCTCTCCAAGAGAAAGGTTGATGCTCCCTGGCTCAGACCTTGGAAAACCTTGCCCCTACACATCTCCCCTCCTCCTCTCTTGTGAGTGGGCCCTCCTTTTCCCTTTATACAAATCTATTCAGAATCTCTTCTGCCTTTTGTTTCATGACCTGACCTCTTGAAAACCCTTCCATTTCTCTTTTTCTGTTTGAATATGCTGTCCCTCCATTGTCATCTCCTTCCTACTAATAAGACACATTTGTTTTGTTGTTGTTTTATTTTTACATTTATTTGTGTGGATATGTGTGCATGTGTGTGTGCGTGTATGTGCATGTGCACATGCAACAGTGTGTTTGCAGAGGTCAGAGGACACCTTATGGGAGTTGGTTCTTACCTTCCACCATGTGGATCCCAGAGATCATAAAAACTTAGGTGGCCAGGCTTGGCAGCAAGCACCCTTACCTGCTGAGCCATCTCACTGGCCCGATCATTTATTTCTTTTACCAATGCTTGGGAGTAATATGGATGGGGAGCCATCATGTTTCTGGGTACCTCTTCCCCACAGTTCTTGACAACCTTCCCATTGCCTATGGCCCCAAAGCCTTCTCTTGGGCTGTAGCACATTTAAGCTGCTCCCTGTTGCATCTGGAACCCACCCTGTCGCATCTGGAACCCACCCTGTCGCATCTGGAACTCAGCTAGCGAACATCTCAGCAGAGAATGTTTCTTGTCCTGGTTTTCCGCTGGGAGAGCATTTTCGAACTTCCCTTAAGATTCCCTCAACTTCACTGACACTCTCCATGACTCTTATATGACAGCTCTCCGTAGTGGCCGTGGGTTTCCACATCTTCCGAACCCTGGAAGTAAACCGACTGTTGGGAAAGCTCCTGCAGCAGCCAGACACTTACGCAGACTTTGAGTTCCTGGCCTTCTGGCAGACACAGTACAACAATATGAACGCTGTCAACCTTTTCTTTGCCTGGATCAAGGTACCCAGGACTTGCCTCCGCCTCTGTCCCAAGGCTCTCACGTACCTTCCTCCATATGGGTCTCATTTTTCTTGTCCGATTTGGTACCTCCCGGGGCCTCCAGCGGTCCCTGGAGTGTTCCATGTTTCTCACCTTCTCTCTCTCTCTCTCTCACTTGTTTCACCGTGACCCTTGCAGATATTCAAGTACATCAGCTTCAACAAAACCATGACCCAGCTCTCATCCACACTGGCTCGCTGTGCCAAGGACATCTTGGGCTTTGCTGTCATGTTCTTCATCGTCTTCTTCGCCTATGCCCAGCTTGGTTACCTGATTTTTGGGACCCAAGTGGAGAATTTTAGCACTTTCGTCAAGTGCATGTGTGTGTGTGTCCTGCCCCCACCCCTGGGCCCCTCACTCTCCAGCTCCCAGGGTGTGTGCAGCCTTGGGAAAGAGGGGCAAGTGTACGGGCGTGTCAATGCTTAAAGTATCTGAGAGTGTCCTACAGTTTGGGTTTGTGCTCAAGTAACGTACAGTCCATCTGTTTTTATTATAGTGCATTTGTTGCATTAGGCGCAGTGAGGGGCCTGTTTGTGGTTAGGAAAGCGGGATGGGGTATGAATTGGGGCAAATGTTTGACGTGGCTCTGGGTGAAGCCCAAATCTGATCTCTCAGATTCACCCAGTTCCGGATAATCCTTGGGGATTTTGACTACAATGCCATCAACAATGCCAACCGAATTCTGGGCCCTGTGTACTTCGTCACCTACGTCTTCTTTGTCTACTTCGTGCTCCTGGTAAGGGTCCCTCTGAGGGCTGGTGGCCTAGAGGGCCTTCTGGGTGGGCATTGGACCCCACATGCTTCCCACTTAGGATTAGAACAGGTTTCTCACAGCATGGAGGAAGGTGTGTGAAGGTGAGGTTCTTTTGGGCTTTCTGAGTGCTGGTTAATGTAATGATAACAGACATAAAGGAAACTGTGCGTTCTCCCAGGAAAATCAATTCCTCATCTTCCAAGGAAAGAAAGGGAGTGGGAAAATACCTCATGAGGCACAGCAGAGATCTCTGGAAGCCTCTGTACCTGTTCTCGCAGAGGCCCCTTCCTTTGGGGCATTCACAAGGGTTTCTACCACAGTGTTTGCTGGTAGTTCTCTCTTCTTGCCAACTGGGAAATATCTGAGATTTATTTTTTAGATTTTATTTATTTTATTTCACGTGTATGTGCTTTGCTTGCATGTATACAGCATGTGTGTTGCTGATGCCTGGGAGGAGTTGAACCCCCAGATCTGGAGTTACAAATGGTTGTGAGCTATGGCATGGGCCAAGCCATGTCTCCAAATCCCTGAGTGTGAGTTTTATTAGTATAAACAGAAAGTATCATTATTTGATTAACTGATGGAGACACAAACGTGGAATTGGGGTCACTTGTAAAGAAGAGAACGTATTTGTACTTTGCCGTTGAAAAAACGACCTCAGTGGCTGGTGAGCCCTTGTGTAGGGGGTCCATGGCATATGTTGGGATATACTGGTGTTTAGAAAGGTTACTGCAGCATCTGAATGAGGAACCTCGGGTCAATGAGGGAACATCTTTTGTCTGTAACAGAAATGTGCCAAACATAGATTTTCAGGCTCTTGAGAGGCAGGTATGGGTGGGCTGCCGTGCTGAGACTGAGACCATCGGTCTTTTTAAAACATGTGAGCAAAAAGCTCAGTGCTTTCAGTGGGGCTGAAGGTGAAAACCTGCATCACAAGCAGGGCATGATAGTGCAGGCCTCTAATCCCAGCAGGGAAGGTAGAGGCAGGTAGATCTCTGTGAGTTCAAGGCCACACTGGTCTACACAGCAAGTTCTAGGATAGCCAGGGCTACATAGAAATATTCTGCTTCAAAAAACCTATGTTCCTACTTTTTGCTTTAGAATATGTTCCTGGCCATCATCAATGACACATACTCGGAGGTCAAGGAGGAGCTGGCTGGCCAGAAGGATGAGTTACAGCTTTCTGACCTCCTGAAACAGGTGACCACTCAGGGTCTTTGAGCAGCGTGTCCCCCTCTGGGTTTGGCTCTGGGACACTGCACCATGGTAGCCTGTTCTTGCCTGACACAGGCAGACGTCTGCGCTCTTGAGTGTCTTTGACTTGTTCCTGGGGGCCTGAGATCTTTTGGTGGGGGTGGGGCCAATGGCGGTGAGGACCCAGTAGGGAACTTTGCCTGCTCCCTTTCCCTTCCAGAGCTGCAAGAAGGCCCTACTAAGGCTGCACCTGAGGAAGGAACGGGTTTCGGATGTGCAGAAGGTTCTGGAGGGTGGGGAATCGGTGATCCAGCTGGAAGATTTCACCAACACCTTAAGGGAGTGAGCAACTGAATATTCTTTGAAATTAGTCTGATTTGTGACCCTCAACTATACATGCTTTGCTAATAACCCCAGTCTATTGTGGTCTTTATCGTGACCTTGCTTTACAGATCTCTGACCATAGTTTATACATATTCTGAACATTACTGAACATCTCGTATACCTAATGTAACAGTATAACTATCTTATTATTAAATATGCTTCACCCAAAATATTGGGCAAATATATTGCAAGAACCATCTGTGCCTCAGGCTTGAGTAGGCAATGACATAATTAAATGAGACAATGAGGGGTGCTGGAGAGATGGCTCAGTGGTTAAGAGCATTGCCTGCTCTTCCAAAGGTCCAGAGTTCAATTCCCAGCAACCACATGGTGGCTCACAACCATCTGTAATGATGTCTGGTGCCTTCTTCTGGCCTGTAGGCATACAAGCAGACAGAATACTGTATACATAATAAATAAATAAATAAATATTTTTTTAAAAAAAAGATTCCTTAAAAGAAAATGAGACAATGAGGAGCTCAAAGGCATGTAAGCAAATTTGCCAAGACAGACTAAGTCCAAGAACAGCAGTGACTTAAAGAGAGGAAAGCACAGAACAAAAAGAGTTATTAATAGCTTTTGAGATTTAAGGAAGCCTTCCAGGAAGAGGTGATGATGGAAAAGGGTTTTAAAAAATGCCTAACTTACACACTGGGCAAGCAGAGCAAGGTCATTGTGATAGCCAAGCATTGCTAAGATATCAAATGAATGGCCTCATTGTGATAGCTGAGCATTGCTTAGATATCAAGTGAATGGCGAGTTACAGGAGGAATTGAGGCCATAGTCAAGGGCTACACTGGGAAAGACCTTGAATGTCACCACTGAATCCAGGGAGTAGAGTGCTTGGGGGGGTACTTTAAAACCAGAAATTGGTGCTCTCAGATGAGCATTTTCTATTAAATTTTAATATTTTTAGTTTGGTCTCACTTTAGTACCCAGGTTCACCTTGAACTTGATCTGATTCTTCCTCTAGCCTCAGCCTCCCCAGTACTAAGACTTGTAGACATCTTTTACCACGCTCAAGTATTAAACTTGATAATTAATAATTAGACATTTAAAAATGTTAATTATTCTCTTTACGGAGGATGGGTTTCAGGAGTAAAGGGGGGCTAGAGCTATGGTGGTGGCAGCAGGTTATCCAGGGGCACAGGATTGTAATGCACTCTGCATGAGATGCTGAAGGCCTGACCTAGCCAGCAAGAGTCACGGCATGAAGAAGAAATAAAAGAACTTGTTAGAAATAGCATCATTAGACCCTGAAGATCCAGTTTTCCTGTGTGATCCTCATCTTCCCCAGAAAGCAAGACCCCGAGATCAAGATCCTTACAAGAGTCTAGTAAAAGGGCAGGGAGGCCATATTTGAATAATTATAGTGGGGAGGCCATATTTGAGTGATTATGGTTACTTCTTTGCCTTGTTTTCCTTAGACTGGGACATGCAGAACATGAGATATCTGAGCTCAAGGCTGCCTTCACCAGATTTGATCAGGATGGGAATCACGTTCTGGATGAGAAGGAGCAGGCACAGATGCGACAAGATCTGGAAGAGGAGAGGGTAAGCAGTGTAGACGGAAGTTTTTGTCCCACCCATCCCACAGCCATTCAGTCCCAAAGAAACACACAGAGGCTTGTATTAATTATAAACTAGCTCTTACAACTTAAATTAACTCAGAATTCTTAACTATGTTTAGACATGTGGCTTGGTACCCTTTCTCAGCAAAGCATTCTCATCTTGCTTCCTCTGTGTCTGACTGGTGACTGCATCTGCCTTTCCTCTTCCCAGAATTCTCCTAGTCTGGTTGCCCTGCCTAGACTTTCTTCCTGGCTACTAGCCAATCAGTGTTTTATTAAACCAATGTGAGTGACAAATCTTTACAGTGTACAAGGGCATTACCTACAGCAAAGCAGGACCGGTTGGTGGGGAGAAAGGACAAATGCATCGCTTGCTTGTTCTCCCTCCCCAGCATACTCAAACAAAACGCCAGGTTGAATGACCTCCCAAAAATGAGCTGGAAAGAACTCTCTAGAACAGCAGTTTTCTAATTGCTGCATATTAACTATTCCAGAGAGTCTTTAGACACCCTCACTCTCAGGCCACACATCCTAGACCAATTAGGTCAGAAGTTCTGGGTGATAGGGCTGAAACATTAGAGATTTCTAAAGTTTCCAAGGTGATTCCAGCACACAGCCAAGGTTCAGTCCCCAAAGTAATCCCTGATTATCCTCAAGGAGGACTTGTTCTCTTGGAATTTTGAAATTGCTCCTACTATATCTGCTCCATCCTTATTCAGGGTAGGTCAACAATTAAAGGGCAGCGCTACCAGAGATAGAGAGGGACAGCCACAAGAAAGGGAGCCCAGGCTAGAACTGTGAGTCTGTTCACAACAGAGCACAGATTAAACGCTTCCCAGATTCCAGGCTGGAGAGATGGCACAGCAGTTAAGAGCACTGACTGCTCTTCCTGAGGATCTGGGTCCAATCCCCAGCACCCACATGGCAACACACAACTGTCTGTAACTCCAGTTCCAGGGGATCTGACACCTTCACACCAATGCACATAAAATAAAATTAAATAAATTGTATATTTAAAAAGTTTTCCAGACTCATCTTGTCTCCTCTAACAACTATCTTTTCTATCAGGTGGCCCTTAGTGCTGAAATTGAGAACCTTGGCCAGTCCATTGGACATAGCCTACCAGGTGAATCGGGCACAGAAGCTGCCAGAGGAGGAGGCTGGGTTTCTGAAGAAGAATTCTACACGTATGTGGAAGCAGGGACCCAGTGCTGAATGGATGTGACATCTTGTCTTGAGACCCTTTCCATTCCTTCCCATTCCCTTTCCTAGTCCAGGCAGAATTTTAGTTCCCCTGTGAGTCTTCCTACAAGGTTGGGTCTTATCTTCCTCATTTCCATGTAGACAAACTCCATTGTATTATCTCTAATACAATACATATTTCTGCTTCCTTTGTGTCTCTCAAATACTACACAGGCTCACAAAGAGAGTTCTGCAGCTGGAGAGTATTCTGGAAGGAATCGTGCCCCAGGTTGATGCTGTAGGCTCGAAGTTGAAGATGCTGGAGAGCAAAGGGGACCTGGCTCCCTCCCCAGGAATGGTGAGTTCCTTCAGCTGGGTCCTCTCATCAGTTAGAGAGGACAGTCTAGAAAGACCTGGGGAGCAATGCTCACAATGGCCATAGATCAGTGGAGGTGGAGAGCAGGCCCGGAAATTGCTTAAGTCAGTCTATAGATTTCTTTGACCTTTTAGGGGCCTTTGTTTTAGTTTCTTTGAGATGTTATAATAAACTATCAAAGATTATACTGCTTATAAACAACATTTTGGGAGGATGGGAGGAGTCTGAGATTGAGGTCCTAGCAGGTCAGGACCTGACGAAAGCCTCCTTCTGGCTTCATGGACCACTCAGTTCTTGATATGTTCTCATATGGTGGCAGGAAAAGAGAGCATTCATCACTCACCAAAGGCCTCATTTCCTAGTACTGTCACACCGATAATTAGCATGTCAGCATAAGACTTTGGAGAGACACAAACATTAGTCTCTAGCAATCTAGGTTTTCTATAGTTAGATTCAGAGAGAAATAAATTACTTCTTCAAATGAACTGTTCCTTTTTCTTCCAACAGGAGTCGCTAGCTGTTTGGAAAAACCTGTAACCAGTTCTAGTTGTCACTCCAGCCCTCTTGGGAGTCCAGGGTGGGCAGGAGAATGGAAAAGGGATTCTAAAACATCAGACAGCAAGTTCTTCTCTCTATGCCTTCCCAGAAGCCGCTTCTCCTATGCCCTCCTCCCCTTCTAGGACATCTAGGACATGACAGCTGCTGTGGAGTTCTACCCTGTAGCTGGCCTTTTGAGCCAATGTTTTTGTGTGTAGCTGGGTAGCATGTTTAGGCTTGTCCTTTGGTGTTTCTATATGTAGTCACACAGCTCTGTAAAACAGCATTTCCTATTTGGCTTCTCACTTGCTGTGCATTTACTTCTGCTGTAGTTATTAGAATCAATAACAAACAAGAAAAAGGAAAAGATGACAATGACTCTCCTAAAGAACTCAGACAACCAAAGGTAGAAGCCCAAGTGTAGGCAATGGATATGTCTTCTTACTTCACAGTAAATCTAACTCTTCTGCGTGTGTCTAGAGATCTGCCATTGGCATGCATGGGTGTGTGCAGAGGTCTTCTCTTCCCCCATAGAGTTTCACTGTAAGAGAGAAAAGGAAGTCCTGGAGGAAAGTAGACTCTTGTGTGGTGAGATTCCAACAGAGGAGTTAAGAGTGACACCCTGAACCCACACTCTGATTCTGATGCTCCACTGAATACCTGGAACCAAGAGGACTTCAAACTTGGAAACAGAAACAGAAACCAAAGGAAATCAGAGATGATGTAATATCAGGATTCACTGATGTTTGTACTAACGTGATGGTGTCTGACTCGATTCACCATAGGACAATGTGGAGTTCCAATCAATAAAACTCTTTAGAAAACCAGATCTTTGCATTTGTTTCTAGGGTTATAGAGAGAAGATAGAAAGATAGAGATGTAAGATGTTTATGTGCATTCTCTGAAAGGTACTGGAGTGGAAGCCATGCCAATGTCAAGGAGCTTGGCTGTCCCAGGAGTCTTGAAGGAAGAAGTCCGGGCTCATCGGAATATGTGAAATGGAAAATACTATGAGTACTATAGAAAAGAGTGGAGATGGAGCACCTAGGGAGAATGAGTCCTCAGAGAAGAGCTAGTCAGACTAGGAACGGTGGGGATGTCTGTGGTGTGTATGTGTGTGTGTAATCAGACATTTCCTGTCCCAGCCACCCGGTCCCAGATAACTGACATGGAGGCTGAATATGAGTTATAAATACTCGGCCGATAGCTCAGGCTTGTTACTAGCTAACTCTTACATTTAAATTAACCTATTTCTATTAATCTATGTATTGTCACATGGCTCGTGGCTTATCTGTCTTCTAGCATGTCTTAATTTCTGGGTGGCTGGCTGGCATCTCCCTGACTCTGCCCTCCTTCTTCCCATCTTTCTCATTTTGACATTCCCACCTAACTTCCTGCCCTGCTACCCACCTGTCAGTTTTTTTATTAACCAATGAGAGTAATACATATTCATAGTACAGAAAAAGATTGTTCCACCGCATGTGTGTACATGTGCACAAGCATGAGTGAGTGGAGGATAACCAAGAATAAAACAAGAAACTCTTATACCAAGATTTTGGATGCTCGGGTGCCTGCATCCTGAAAGTCTTACCTCTTCTCCTGTGGAGGGCCACAACCACATTCTCCATTGCTTCAAGGGACAAAGGTAGAGATTGACCTCTGTGACCTCAAGGTGTGGTGGTACACGCCTTTAGTCCTGATGCCTGGGAGGCAGAGGCAGATTGACCTCTGCGACCTCAAGGCGTGGTAGTACACGCCTTTGGTCCCAATGCCTGGGAAGCAGAGACAGGCAGATCTCTGTGAGTTCAAGGTGATGTAGCACACGCCTTTAATCCCAGCGCATGTGCTTGGTAACTCTCTACCGCTGCGTCCCTGTCTACTTCCGAGGCATCATCTGGGATAATGGGCAGCGGACCAATCCAAGAGTGACACGTCAGAAGCGAGGACTGTTTCCTTTATAAGGGCTGGGTTCCCCTCATTCTGGGTCTCCGCTTTGGAAGCTGATGCTCTACCTCTCAAGACGCATTAAAGCTTTACTGCAGAAGAATCCTAAGTGCCCCGTGTCGTTCTTGCTGGCGAGGCCGAGCGCGGGACATTCTCCCTCTCCTGTGACCCCATTCCCCTGCACCTTCCTTGCACCCCAGTGTATCTTCTTATTTAATTTCTTTGCTCACACTTGTTTTCACATCCTGTTAAGTATTTCATAAACCTAAGAGACCTATGCAACCATTAAATACAATCAAGATACCAATGTGTCAACTGTGATGGACGCTTCCTTCAAGAAAGATGGTTTCAACTAAACAGCATTAGGGGCTAGCTTGCATTTTAAGAAGCATGACTCAGAGAGTTGATATTAATCCAAGGCTTGTGGGAAGAGGAAAGGAGAGAATATTTAGGATCAAGAAACCAGGCTGAGCTAGGCGGTGGTGTCACATGCCTTTAATCCCAGCACTCGGGAGGCAGAGGCAGGTGGATCTCTGTGAGTTCGAGGCCAGCCTGATCTACAAGAGCTAGTTCCAGGACAGGCTCCATATAGAGAAACCCTGTCACTACTCCCACCCAAATAAATAAACAAACAAATAAAAAGAAAAACAAAAAGAAACCAGGCTGAAAGCTAGTGGGAGACAACTTGCAAAATCACGGCTTCCCTGAGCTATTCTTTGGTGAGTAAAACTTGTCAAGGTGCAGGTGTATTGGGAGGAGGCACCTATTTCCAATAACTTCATCTGAGAAGTTATGGATCCATTGTGGGGCCACCACCAAGACAGGCTGTGGCTGGTACAAGCCAAGTGGCAGTCTAGGGTATGGTTGCAGAAATGAACGCATCTTCAACACCAGGGACAGTGATTCTCAGCAGCGGGTTGTGATTCACAATAGACTATCTTAGCTTCAGTTTCGCCTTCACGCTTGCACTTTAATAAAAAGGTAATTATTTGAGGTGTGACTAGGAGAGACTAGCAGAGCGAGAAGGTCGCGATTCTGGGGCGGGGCACTTGCGGTGCGCACGCGCAGACGCTTCAGAACCGGAAGCAGCGTTGGGCTGGGCATGGCGGCGGCTGCGGAGGGCGTCCCTGCTACGCGACGCGATGAGCCGTCTAGAGGTACTACCCGGCGTGGCTGGAGTTGATGCGGCTAGTGGGAGGCTGGGTCCGGGTGCTGGAGCGGGTACACCTGTCTGCAGCGCCAGGGCGCTGAGATGAAGGTCTGGCCCCTGAGCAAGGGAATGGAGTTGGCGTTTCAGGCGGGCGAGTGCGAAGTGGGGGGCTTGAGATCGTGGCTGGTGGAGAACGACGGCGCCTTGACTGCACGAGCACAGGTCGGGAGGGACGTAGGAAGAGGCCGCTTTGACTGGGTTAGGTCTGGGTATGGATCATTTACTCCCACACACTCCCACCCCACCCCCCGGGCCAGATGATGCTGCGGTGGAGACAGCTGAGGAAGCCAAGGAGCCCGCCGAAGCTGACATCAATGAGCTCTGCCGAGACATGTTCTCCAAAATGGCCACATACTTGACTGGGGAACTGACAGGTGAGACGCCGTCCTGGCTGATCCCGATTGTGCTGTTGCGTTTGGCTCCGCAGAAACCTGAGAGGTGCTTTAGGAGCCTTGGTCAGTGGTTGAATGGAAGGAAAAGAGCCCCGCCCCCGCCCTCCCCCCCTTTTCCTAGGGAAGCTCAGGACCCACTTTAGAAACATAAACCACAGGCCTCTTCTAATGTAGTAACAACAGCTAACAATGAAAGTTCCGTGCTATTAGTTAAGACGTGCCTCCCTAGGGGAGGTGTATTTTAAGCATGATGTGAAGGAAATGGAAAAGGGGGAAATGCTACAATTAGTAAAAGAGCTGGAATCAGCAAGCAATTTGATTAGATCAGACGGTTAGTCTGAAGATTTGGTGATCCATCCTTCGGATATAGTTAGACTTAGTTCAGTGTGCCTGCACCCTGTGTCTGCGTATGAGGTAGAGTCAGATCATGGAGTCTGGGCCATGTGCACTGTCATAAGAACTTACATTGTTTCACTTCTCCAGAATTTTTATTTTAAATTACACATACTTGGTGTTTGTGCGTATACACATACTTAAAGGTCATGGGACAACTTGTGAGGGTTGGTTCTTTTCTACCATAGGTCGGAGTACCACACTCAGGTCTGCAGGCTTGTAGCAAGTTCCTTGCCAGCTGAGCCATCTCACAGGCCTCACCCCCAGAAATTGTCTGGGATCTCAATTTGTGAACCAGAATCTATGAAAAAAGGCTTAATAGAGAAGTTGGGGGGTTGTAAGCCACCGATATGTCAACCTGATTATTCATTTGTTTTTGAACAAGAGAAACAGTAACAAAATTCAGATTTGTGTGGTCTCTCTGGAAGTTCTGAAGATGTGGCAATAGTAACTTACCTTTCTTTTTCTTTTCTTTCCTTTCTTTCTTTTTTTTTTTTTTAAACCTGTATGATTTGGTTTGTTCTCTACTCACCGATTTCTCTCCTTTAGTAGGACTGAGTGTCCTTTGCCGCTTAGCTCTGTTCTTTTACTTTTGGTTTTCATTTATTGCAGTTTAGACATGGTTTTCTGGATCAGAGCCTTAAAATTTGTAAGCAGGGTGCTGGGCTGAGAGGGAGCGTACTCGTCTGTGGACATGAATGATTTCCTTGTGTTTATTACTCACATTCCTTACTCACATTCTTTTGCTGGCTTCCAAGTGTGTGGCCCTTGTTTTAGGGAGATTATTGTTTGCTAGCAGTGAGAGCCAATGTGGAGGAGAACAGGAACGGAGGAGCTGTTGCTGGGAGGGACTGGGAGTCTGAGGCAAAGTGAAGAGATCAGAGGAGTGAAAGGGGGAGTACGGGTGTGAGCACATGACAGAGGTAGATGCCCAGGATTTGTCAAGGTGAGTGTTGTGAGGTTTTCAGTGTGGGTAGGACCGTCAACCGAAGTAGGAAGCTGAAAGGAGGAACAGTGTGTATGTGGGAAACTGTTTCAGTTTTGGCTCGGCTGTTTGTAGCTGTTTCTGAGCCTCTGGGGTGGGGTTTCAGAAGACACTCAGGTGCCTCGTGCAGCTGAGTCCAGAGCTCCGAGACTAATCTTTGCAGGGGAGGCACTGTGTGGTGGAAGTGGAGGCTGTGCAGAATTTACAATTGGACCTCTTTAGGGCCTAGACTGACATTGCAGGAAATGGAGCAGTTCATTGTGAATTGCTAGGGATTGAACCCAGGGCTTTGCATATACAACACTGATTGCTTTGTCCAGTGAGCTACGTTTGCAACCCCAAATAATTTTTGTAGATAATTACTTTAAAGTTTTCAAGTGATTCTAAAACTAAGTCAAGCCAGTGTTATTTCTCCTCTATTGTCATTCTGACTTGTACAAATGCTTTTTTTTTTTTAAAAGATTTATTTATTTATACAGAATCCTGCCTGTAGGTCAGAAGAGGGCACTTGATCTCATTATAGGTGGTTGTGAGCCACCACATGGTTGCTGGGAATTGAACTCAGGACCTCTGGAAGAACAATCGGTGCTCTTAACTGCTGAGCCATCTCTCCAGCCCCCTACAAATGCTTTTTGAAAAGAAAAATTTTAATTTATTAATTTGTGTGTGTGCGCGCATGCGTGTGCATGTACACATGCACAGGTGCACACATATGCGTGTGTATTAACCATGTTCCATGGTTCATGTGTGGAGGTTGGAGGACAGTTTTGGATTGATTGTTTCACAAGCATGAGGACCTGAAGTTTGGGTAGGTAGAAGTAGGAGGTTCCTAGAACTCACTGGCCAGTCTAGCT